CATTTAAAAATGTTACAATCTGTTACGTCCAAAACCTGGTTCATTTATAAAAAATTTATTGCTTTTTTGGCAATTCTTACGTGACAACATTAATATCTGGAGCTTATTCTCCATGTAATTTCTTTCGCTCATCCATACTGATATAATGAAAAAAGATTTGTATTTTTATATCTATTGGGATAACTCAAAAACTACTAGACCGATTTCAAAAATTCTTTCATAATTAATAAGCTACATTATCAGCGAATAACATAGACTTGTTAGTTGGTTTTTTTAAATTCTACGCTGGTGAAGTCAGGAGCAACAGCTATAATAATTTAAAGGAGAAAGATTTGTATTTTTGTATGTATTGAAATAATTGAAAAACTGGGTCGATTTAAAACTTTTTAAAAAGCTACGTTATCAGTGATTAACACGAGCCATATTTTTTTAAATTCCCGTGAATGTAGCCGTTAACAACAGCTTTAGTACATATACAGGATTGTAAACCAGATAAAGTAAACCAGACATTCGAGATAGAAGTCCGTAGTAGGGGTTGTTGAAAATTGTTTGGCTTAACGATCGCCCTAACAAGTGGACACGCCAGTACTTCAATACTATTGAATTTTTTAACTGCGGTCGACGCATATTGAATTTTAAAGCGATTCCTCGATGAACAGCGGCGGTTATATTTGGGCCCGCATCGGATAGGATGTAAATTTATATTGTTACAACTTTCAATGTAAAGCATAATTAAATGGAAGACTTTCATATTTATAGCCCTACTATAAATATGACTAAAAATAGTTTTTTAATCTCAACAGTGTAAACGCAAAATTGTTTGATTATTTATAGTTTACATCTTACTAATATAATAATTGAATTAGTAATAGAATAGATGTAGAATAGTCTAGATAATAAATAGGACACTAATTTTATTTTATTTTTAACTAGATGGTCCTTTGCGGCTTCATTTATTACGAATTATGAAAACTTTATTTTATTGTGTTTATTATTGTCAAATTATCAATTGCAAATGTCAAAATTACCGTTACCATAACATTCTTGCTTCCTTAATGTTGGTAGCTTGTAGTTTATGGTATCTTTCCCACATGAAGATTTTTTTCATCGATTTATTTACCTCTTAAGTTTATTAGCGTAAAAATGTATAGCCTCAAGCGTGCTAGTGTAGGGCTTTTATTAAAGAAGGATTTATTAAAAAATATGGTGTTATTGCTGACATCCTACGCCACGAAGTAGTGAGTGTTTACGCTTTATTATATTAGTATAGATTCCGCGCAGATGAAGTCGCGGTAACAACTAGTCTATAGTAGTTTCATGTTGTTTCTGACTGTGATTTGTATAATATTCTATAGTTAAAGTCATTATGATTAGTGAATAAATTAATCATCTGAATTATGTTGTTTAATAAAACAATATGAAAATAAATATTCATTTTTTTTATTTTTTACGAAAACAATACCTTATTTGTATTTACAACAATAGGCGTTGTTTTAAATACATTTAAATAAAACTGCGTCTAAAATCGGTAACGAGGATTCTCGGTTAACTTTGTAAGGCAATGTTTTTATATTATTTTAACAATGAGTCCTTTGTTACATAAATGTTTGACCTTGCCTTGTGGCGGTTCCCGGCTCTAGAAAAGGTTATTTTCGCAAAATGAGAAGCTTTTTCGAGTTATTATAATAACTCAAAGGAAATAAAATTTTAAGCATTTATCAAAGCACTTATTATAATATTTAAACAATTATTTTCACTGTTTTGCAAAAACAGGTAATAATCATTCGATTGGCGAGTTGCCATTAGCGAAACACACACATTGCAATATGGATATTCCTCGTTATACGTCATAACGTATAAAGCGTAAACACACACTTCTTTGTTGCCTAAGATGTCAGCAATTACAGCATATTTTTGAATAATTCTTCTTTAATAAAAAACCCTACACTTACGTTACGCTTTAGGCTTAAAGCGTGACGTAAGTGTAGGTATATATAGCCATATATTTTCACGCCATTAAACTTAGGGGGTAAATATTTTGATAAAAACCCTAATGTGGAAAAGAGACCATACGATACGAGCTACCAACATCAAGAAGCAAGATTACCATAGTAAGGTCATTGGTTTTGACATTTGCAATTGATAATGTAAACAATAAAATAATATTATCACAATTTCATGCGGAATAAGCCGCACGGGAACAGCTAGCCTCTTATAAATCATCATCATTCCCAATTCCGTATCCTAATTCCCGCATGGGGACACCTGATTTTTGTCTTCCAGGTCTATCTTTCGCCATCTCAGTCACTCCCGTCCCATTTACCTTCACGCAATCTATCCATCTCTTTCTAGATTTACCTCTACCAGTGTCTAATCGTTTCGCACTAACGAGAGGGATATAGTTTTCTTCGTCAGCTTAAGTACCGCGTCAGGCCGATATCGGCCTGTTAAAAAGTGCATGTGTCACCAACATATCTCATTTCTCTTAAAAAAATAAATAAAATCAAACAGCAATCAATATCAACTAAAAACTGTATATTAATAATGTAAAATAAGCATTACAGAAAAAGTTATAGAATATACAAAGAACATGATCTTATCGAACACTTCTGCTATTTCACGTCGTGGATTGAACTCCACGTTATCAGACTGCATTTCCTCGTAGTTGCCCAATCTCGGCGCGAGACCAACACCTGAATCACGATCTTCATCACCCAAGTTACTCTCCCCAAGAGTTTCATAGATTCTGCACAACTGGAATGTAAAGAAACTAATTGTTGATTCCATATGTCTTGGAGCGGACGGACCTTTGACTAATTTAAAACTGTTTGCGATTGTCGATTGTTTCAACTTCAACTGTTTAGTTGCACAACTGAAAATCCAGTTGTGTAACCTCCTTATAGCTCATAGGAATCGAGGGGCGACTGAACAGTTTTGCGATACTTTAGTCAAAGGTGTACACGCTCTAAGGTAATATAATCAAAATTAATACTCGATGTGATAGTGTCAAGGTTGTGGGAGTATCCTGGATGCGGGAGGCACAGGACCGATCATCGTGGCGATCGTTGGGGGAGGCCTATGCCCAGCAGTGGGCGACATATGAATGAATAGTAGTAGTGATATATTGTTTGCACATAGATTTCAAATTTCTCAAACTACCTAAGTAGCTTTTAAGGAACCTACGACGTAAAGTATGGAAATATTACTGTAATTATACTTTTTTTATAACATAAAGTGGCAAACGAGCAAGCGACCACCTGAACCCACCAAAATGGCGAAGCGACCGCTGCCCATAGACATCCGCAATTGCAGATCCGTTGCCTACCCTCATCCGTCAGAGGAGGAGACGCACATATAGAGGATATCTCCCCTTCCTATGTATCTCCTCCTCCATCAAATCCACTTCCTCTTCCCATCCTCTTCTTATAAGAATAAGAAAAGGGTGGTAAAGAGAAAGGGACTTAAATTAGGCCTCCGGCGCCACACTCATCAGACGAAACGGAATTGCTTCCATTTGACGGCTGTCTTCTGTGTGGTCGTGGTATTACTGGGGGCGAGCCCTGCACTGCTAACATGTTAAAGCGGGCACTACCACTGTTAGTTCTTCTCCTTCTTACTAATATAATAAATGCGTAAGTTTGAATAGATAGATGTTGGTATGCATATCCAAAACGGCTTAACAAATCTTGCTGAAATTTGTCTCAAATGTAGAACCATAGTCTGGAAGAATATAGATTACTTTTCTAGTTATTTCCGTGCGGACGGAACGCGGGCGATATCTATGATAGTTATAATATAAAAAAATATGAGACAGTAGAAACGTACCCTTACTTCAGGTAGACAAAATAATATTCTTAACCATCGATGTAGTAAAATAGTACTTATGAATGGTTTATTGCAAATCTTATCCGCCGTTTCCATCATTAACAGCACGTGTACGAACAGAGCTAATATTGCACCGAAAAGTACAGTCGTGTACAATACCACTGGAAACAAAACAAATAAAGATTTAATTAGGAAAAATTTAACTAGATGGCGCTATTATTAATAAAGGATGTTTTTGTCTTACACGAGATAAAAATACAACGTTGTGAAATCTTTACTAATATTGTAAAGAGGAAAGATTTGTATTTTTGTATGTATTGAAATAACTTAAACACTACTGGACCGATTTTAAAAATTCTTATATCATTAAAAAACTATATTGTGGTTGATTTTTTTTTTATTTCACGTGAACGAAATCGCGAGCAACAGCTAGTTAGCACTTTAGGACATGGCTACAAAAATGGTTATCCAAAAGTAAAGAAAGCTTTAACGCCTTCTACCTCACAAGATGTCGTTATCTACATATACTAATATTATAAAGAGAAAAGACTTGTATTTTTGTATTTTTGTATGTATTAGAATCACGTTAAATCTACTTGGCTAATTTAAAAAAAAAATCCACTAATAGAAAGGTAATATATCTGTGAGTAACATAAGCTATATTTTTTAATTTCACGCGGGCGATACGCGAGCAACAGCTAGTCTATATTAAAATTATAAAGAGGAAAGATTGTTATTTGTATATATTCGATTCACATAAAACTAATGGACCGATTTTAAAAATTATTTCACCATAAGATAGGTTATTTATTTGTCTGAATACTTACATATTGTAGGAACAGTATGACAAGGTACTAAATAGTCGATATAACAAAGTCCCATGCAAATAACGATGGTGGTTCCCGCGTAAAACCACACGCGTTCCATTTTCAACGGCTCCGACCAAAATGACATTAGAACGAATGTTACCAACACTGAAAATGTAAAGTAAAATGTATTTTTATAAAAAAAAACACAAACGTTCTAATTAAAAAGTTAGATTACGACAATAGTGATACTGAAACCATAAAAATATTCGATATCTTACTAATTGTAAATGCGAAAGTTTAGATGGATGGATGTTTGCTAGAGTTTGTAGCCTAAACTGCTGAACGGATCTCAATGAAATTTGTCATAGATGCAGAGGATAGTCTGGAAGAACATATAGGCTACTTACTTTTTATTTCCACGCAGACGGAGTCGCGGGCGAAAGCTAGTATTTCGATGAATCAATAGTAATTAAAAAAAAAATTCAATACTGGTAGTAAAAAAAAAAAAAACAGTGTTCGATATTTAAAATAAGTTAAAAAATGCAAAGACTATGAAACGCAAAGATACTTACCTAATAAAGGCGTATAAAACACAATATTATACGAAGAAGCTCTTCTCTTGAGATTCATAGTTATGAACAACCTATCACTTGTGGACATACTGTCGTTTACGTCAGTGCCGATGATGTCGCCGATGTCTCTCCAGGCCTCCGCCGATATCACGTACTGTTGTATGTCCAGTTCCCATTCGTTTTGTATCACATCGTCGATATCTGTAAACTGTTTTAATCACATGATTCAGAATTAAAGTTGTGGACATTAATATATCTGACAGTGGTAGAGCTTTAACATCTTCGCACAGTAGGGACGGCTCGCCCCCAGCAATACCATACAGAAGACAGACGTAAAGTGGGAACAATTCCGCGTACAGTCTGATGAGTGTGGTGCCGGAGGCCTAACTTTTCTCTCTTTATCTTTCTACCCTTTTCTCATGAAGAAAGGATGGGAATAAAATGTGGATTGAAGACACATAGGAAGGGGAAATGTCTCATCTATGTGCGTCTACTTCGTCGATCAAGGTAGGCAAGGCATCTGCAATTGTGGTTATCTATGGGCAGCGGTCGCTTCGCCATTTCGGTAGATAAAGTTAGCCGCTTGTTCTTTTACCATCTTTTATTTTATAAAAATTTAAAGTGATAAAATACCTCTAGTACTAAATCCAAACTAGACACTGTAAGTTTTAGAACAAGACATGATACTTAGAATTTAAAACTTTTTACTAGCAACATCACTTTTAGAAGAGGATAGAGATGTATGGGAGAGGACATACTGTGCCCTACTGTGAAGAGCAGGTTGATGACTAATGAAATCTTTTTTTGAGTTAGTTTATATAGGTCCTCTAACGCCTATGAACAAAGACATTAACTTACGCCTTCCATCTCTTCTAATTTTGGTACACTGAGGGTTATTTGCTCAGATGTGTCCCAAGATTGGATTACTAATGAGCAATTGTATTCATCCCGAGGCCACCTGTAATACGACCAAATACTCTTTAACTCTGTATTACCAACTTGGTTGCTTTCATGTATTTTTCATACCTATTCAATTTGGTCGAGTAATCCACACACCACGTGTATATTGTAGTTTGGAAATGAAATACAGCTTCCCCGCTGTATACCATCCATATGTGGTCAGGATTATTTGTGTCTAGCATATCTAAATTATCAGAACTGAAAAAAATGTCATATTTCTGTGATGTTACCAATAGATGGCGCTCTTAAATTCGTAAATCGCAGCATTATGATTTGGATTAATTTAATTTAGAAGTTTTTACACGTTAATTACATTGAAGTACAAGTACGATAAGCATGTCATTGAATTATAACTTTAAAATGGATGCAATTTACTTGAAAACGAAGAAAGTCGGCCTCCAAATTTGTCCCTGACGAAATGTCAAGCTTGTAGTCCCATTAAACTTGCTGGGATTCCAAGCCATGCTGTTGTCCATCCAACTCTGTTAACAAACAATTATGAAGTTATTACAATATTGTTGAAAACTCTAACTGAAACCGTACGTCTAATATTGGATCCATATTGGTTAATCAGGATAGAATATTCCAACTAAATTTAGTATTAGTAACTTATTCTCTACATCCAAAGGCGCTTTAGAGCGTTTGCCTAAACTATCGCACAAATGTTTAGTTGTGTCTATGAGCTTATATGGAGGTTTTACTACTCGATTTTTAATTGTGCAACTAAACAGTTGAATTGGCTGCGAAACAATCGACGATCGGACAACAGTTGTGCGATAGTTTAGTCATAGGTGTGCGCCCGCTCTAGAGCGTGATTGAATGTGGATAGCTACAAAGGTAGAGGAAGACCGAAAAAAATATGGATGGATTGTGAAAGATAACATACTTAAGAAACTAGTGTCTTCAGATATGACGGCTGATATAGATGTATGGAAGAGCACATACTGTGCAAACCTGTAGGGACGAGGGTAAGTTAATGTGTTTTAATTAATTTTCTTACCATAAACACAGACAATCCAGTAATTAACTTCGCATCTAACGCGTTGTAGAACAAACTCGTTACTTTGATTCCAAGTTTCACATTCATTTGTTCTGTCGGCGGTAAATTGGGCATTCGTCCCATCAGTAATGATGTCTTCAAACTATCCGAGCTTGTTTCATTGCGCTCTACTGCTTCTGAATTAGGTGTTGCTGTAAAAAAAATGAAATGAACATTAAATTCACATATGAGTAGTTTAAATATAGTGTAACTAAGTAGAAATTTCATCAAAAAAATTACGACTTTTCTTGATCTGTGTTCATATGACCGGGAGGCTAATTGTAGCCCTGATTCCCTTTCTAAACTTTTTAAAGGACTCTTTATTTACAGAGTAGGTTATAGAAATTAATTTGAAGGAGGAGAGCATGTTAGAGGAAAATGTCCGTCATGTACATCCTCTGATCTATTCTTTGAAGGGACATACCGTATCTTTAGGGCCTGTCTCACCACTGGCTAATGAGGTTAAGATAGCTTAAAAATTACGTCACGGTCAGATAAGGTAACAACATCCGATATTTCCATCACATTTTTAACACTTTGGATTTCTATCAGACAATTTACAATTTAATCTTCTAAATTATTCCAGATGTCTATGACATTTTTTAGCAATCTTTCAATTTTATAGCAAAACCAACTGCAGAATTGCTTTGCTTATCTGTTTGTGAACTTGTACTTCTAAAATAAAATGTTCCAAGGCTCAATTTTCTTTAGAAGATAGACTAAGGGTTAATCAGATTTTTTAAGACCCATATTTACCGGCGACTTTTCCCACATCTAGCAATAAAAATAAAGTACTAACCTGTCGTATCATTGTTACCCGGTGCTGGACAGTCGTATAAGAATTTAGCCTCAACTCCATTCCACGCAGCGAAACTGAAGTATTTAACTGGTAGAGGGTCGACATCAAAATAACTCAACACTGGTAAAACTTCATTCTCCTTTCCAAATTCTATTAAACCATCTGAAAACAAATTGTTTTATGAAACACTAAAGGCCTGTCTCACCACTGGCAGATAGAAGTTCGGATAAAACTAAACTTTTCAAAGGACTCTTTATTTACAGAGTAGATAGGAGAATTTTATTTGAAAGAGGAGAGCATGGTAGAGGAAAATGTCCGTCATGTACATCCTCTGATCTATTCTTTGAAGGAACAGATCATATCTTTAGGGCCCGTCCCGCCACTGGCAGATATAGGCTCAGATTAAAAGCGTCACTGTCAGATAAGGAAACAAAATCCGATATTTTGATTACATATTTTACACGTTGGATTGTTATCAGACATTTTACAATTTAGTGGAACAACCCCTTTAACAGTGGTAGAGCCCGCTTTAACATCTTTGCACGAATGGGCAGGCTCGCCCAGTGCAATACCACGACCACACAGAAAACAGGCGTGAAGTGGAAGCAACTCCGCGTTTCGTCTGATGAGTGTGGTGCCGGAGGCCTAATTTTAGTCCCTTTTCCTTTCCACCCTTTTCTTAAGAGGAAAGGATGGGAGGAAAAAGTGGATTGGACGGTGAAGGAGATGCATAGGAAGGGGAAATGTCCTCTTTATGTGCGTCTCCTCCTCCGTCAATTAGGGTAGGCAACGCATGTACAATAGCGGATGTTTATGGGCAGCGGTCGCTTTCCATTTCGGTGGATTCAGGTCACGCTTGCTCGTTTGCCACCTCGTATTATAAAAAAAAACTGTCGTTCGCGCGTAATTAACAAACTTCATTAGTAACCTATGTTTTCTTCCAGATTTTGATCTACATCTGTGGTAAATACAAGATCAAATATCCATTGAGTCGTTCTGAAGATATCTACTAACAAACAAGCATCAATTCATCTAAACTTTTGTATTTAGATCATTAGCGCGCTCACTTACTGCGTTGGCGCAGCGACCCAAAGTGGGTCTTGGCCTCCGACACGAGAGCGCTTACACCTTGGACTAAAATGTCGCACAACTGTTTAGTCTCGCTGATTCCTATGAGCTTATATGGAGGCACACCACTCAATTTTTAGTTATGCAACTAAACAATTGAGCTGCGAAACAATCGACAATCGACAATCGCACAACAGTCGTGCCATTTTTAGTTTAAGGTGTGCCTGTTCTGAGTAAGGCATTTTTTTTATAAATAAACACTAATTACCGTTATATATTTTGATATAAAAAGGTCTGAACTCGATCGCTGAGAGGATACCGACTGTCTTCGATGACGCTCGAGCATTCCTTCTTAAATTGCGACGAAGTTCCGTAAACCTGTTGCTACCGCCGCCTATCACTGTAAATGAATAGAATTTATATAGAACAGTACTAAATACAATAATAATATCACATTTACCTCTGAATTTAAAGTTTTAAAGGTTAAATGTAATCGACCAAGAGATGGCGCTGTATTCTTTTGTATTAGATTTTTATTAAATGAAATTATTGTAAGACTGCAACCATTATTAAATATTATTATTTCATATAAGCAGTTGTAAAATTGTAATTTATTATAAATGTAACAATATATGTATGTTAATGGCTGCATAGACATTTTATGGAATAAAAAAGGAAGAAGTAGTGAAACGAAAAAAAAGGAGAGAATGTCAAGATGAACAAACATGATGTCAAAAATTTTTGTTATGTTGTAAAATAAATTTAAGTAAAAATAAAGAAAACATTAACAAAAAAATGGTGTTAGTTTATTGAGAAAACACAGCCTTAGGAATAAACTGAGTATAAGCAAAAAATAATACAAATATTAGCACAAATTTTGCTTGTAGTCTAGTTTATTCCTAAGTTTAACTTTGTAACTTTATACCGCGTTTATTTGTAAGGCTGCAATTGTAGAGAACAACATTTCCGTGTTGTTAAATTACTTTTATTTAGTATTTCATTTTTGTATTCATCATTACCTCAAGCAAGTTTATGTACCGTCACTAAATTTTCTATATTAAGGTGTGTAACCCCACATCTGACGGCACATGGAAAATCTACTTCACACCTGTCTTTTTTTTGGTATCTGGGGGGAGATACCATGTTTTTTTTTTAAAAAAATGATTATTTTTTTTTAAGAAAATGGTTATGTGAGATTTCTTCTCACTAAAAAGCGCCTCGCTGACGTCCTCGGGTGCGATTTGAGGGTCTTGGAATCCCCAATAGAACGCAGTACTATACGTCTGTCTAGAGTGCCAATTGCCTTAACAGCTAATATGAACTCACTTTTACTTACCTATTTCATATACAGGATCAGTTATAGACGGCTGAGGTACAGTCGATAAAAGAATGTGTCCGTTGCTTCCTGCCAGTATAGCTAGATGCATCTCGAAAATTAATTCTGCTTCGGTCTTCAAATGTCGTCGGTCAAAGGAATCGACGCGGTAGTAAGTCTCATAGACGTAACCGTGTCTGCTTATATGTTCTTTGCAACGTGAGGCCACTAAAATCATAACATTATACATTTTAATTCTAGGAATATAAGAATGGTTGACATGCTTACTGCGTAACAGGCCGATATCGGCCTGACGCGGTGTTTAAGTCTGTGCGGACGAAAACTATGCCCCTCTCGCTATTGCGAAACGATTATTACAGGTGTATACATTGCATAAAATGTATATTATGATTCCATAAAGTTATAGCAATTTTATCTATCCTAGTGCTGGTGGGTCTAAAAAGGCCTGTCACGCACTGGCGGAAATATCATTGGGGGCGCATTTTGGCCCGTCGCCGCACCAGATGAAGAGTTATGATTTTACTTGCCGCAGTAAACGTGTTAAAGCAGTACAAAAGCGTGTTAGAGGTTGACATTTCTCTTACCACATAATAGAAAGTAAAGATATCATTTAATGACTCTGAGTCATCATCATCTCCCCTGCCTTATCCTACTCCCGTAAGGTCGGCGCAACGGGTTTTGGTCCTCCAAGTAGCTCTATCATCCGTCATCTCAGTCATCACTCCCTTCTTGATCATGTCACCTTTCACGCAATCCATCCATCTCTTTCTAGGTCTACCTCTACCGGGGTACCTCCACATTCATAACTAACGTCCTTCTTGTTACATGCGATTCATTCCTTCTCATAACATGCCCATACCATGCTAACCTTTTAATGACTGAGTAAAAATTCCAAAAAAATAGCTTTAAAAATATTTTAAAACCAACTAGAAATGACTATCTCTTGTAAAATAAAAATTTAAAAACTAGTGTTCTGGATTTCTTTAAATTAAAATATCCTGCGTTTGTAATTAAAAATTATGGGTTAAATGAAAAATATACAATAACTGGCAACAAAATTGGACATAAAAATAAAAAAAATAATACTTACTGTCATATGTAAATGTATAATTAGCAGACACGAAACTGTTAATCCAAAAATGAATCACAAATATCACGATTTCTCTTAACATTTTAGTTAAATATATTAAAACGAGCTTTATAAAGCTGTATTATTTTAAATAATATAATCGACAACAATAAATGGAAGTTTTCCAGTGGACTTACAATAAAAAACTAACTACAAAAGGGACGTTTGTGTGTTACACCGGCACCACTACTGGTAAAAATTATAATTCCGCATAGTATGAACGTAATGCTTGCAGTTTGACACAATATGACGTCATATATGTTAACAAAATAATAATTTTAATTAATATAATACAAAAAAATAATTTTAGAAGTTCTTTAGATGCTTTAGAGATATAGACGGGAATGCAGTTTCTGTTCCAAAAGAACGCCCATATTATATCAGAAATATTACCAAACATACATAGTAGCAAATTGATGTGTGACTTTACAATAAATGACTTCTAAGAGAGACAAATTAAAGAAATTAGAGCAAATTAAGAATAATCAATATTTAAAGTATAAAATTTACTTAAATATATGTGATACTGCCATAATAATGGCCATTCATGGCGGAAACGCATTTATAGTTATCATGGCGGACACGAGATAACGCGCAGAGTGGCCCTATCAGCTGCCTCGCTAAATATTCTATTTGTACTGCAGGATAAACTTACATTCATTTACACGCGTGTTTGTATTGTAGCAAACACTTTTGAAAAAAAAATAAGAATATTAAAACCAAAAATGCATATGAAAATTACTACATAAAGTAACAATAATTATCTTACTAATATTATAAATGCGAAAGTTTAGATGGATGGATGTTTGTAAGAGTTTGTAGCCTAAACCGCTGAACGGATTTCAATGAAATTTGGCATAGACATAGAATAGTCTGGAAGAACACATAGGCTACTCACATTTGTTTTTTAAATTCCACGCAGATGGAGTCGCGGGCAAAAGCTAGCTATTTAATCAAACTAATATTATAAATGTGAAAGTTTAGATGGATGGGTGGATGGATGGATGTTTGTTAGAGTTTGCAGAATAAACGGCTGAACGGATTTCGATGTAATATTGTATAGATGTAGACGATAGTCTAGAAGAACACATAGGCTACTCACTTTTGTTTTTTATAATTCAACGCGGACGGAGTCGCGGGCGAAAGCTAGTTTCCCGTAAGTGCAAGGACATACTTTCAACAAACTTAATTTATCATTAACTGCCTGTACTAGAGGTGGAGATAAAGAAACGTTTTAACATTTCTCAGCCGGAAAAGGTGGCTCCAAGCTGGACTTGTTAACAAAGAACACGGCGATATATTAAACGAAGTGACGGTACGGCCATTGTTCGCGGCTGCTCTTTCAACTTCCGCCTGACCTGGTTCGACAACGCAACACTACTTTATTAATGTACCCCGCTTGACTCTTGTAATTTACAATGTATCCCACCTTTATTCATATGCAAACTCAATCTTACAAGCTTAATCTATTAATGCTGAGTTTCTGAACTTTCCGTTTATTTTGCTAGCTCGCTCGCGACTTCATCCACGTGGAACAAAAATAGCCTATGTTACTCGGCCTTAAAACTGTGAATCTAACAAAGAGCTTATAGATATTTACACTTCAAGCTGTTACAACAACAATATATATTTCTATACTAATATAATAAAGCGTAAACACACACTTCTTTGTGGCCTAATATGTCAGCAATTACAGCATATTTTTGAATAATACTTTTTTAATAAAACCCCCTACACTTACGTCACGCTTTAAGCTATATATTTTCACGCTATTAAACTTAGGGGTAAATAAATTAGTTAAAACCCCTAATGTGGGAAAGAGACCATAAGCTGCTGCCAACATCAAGGAAGTAAATTTGCCATAGTAAGGTAGTTGGTATTTTGACTTTTGCAGTTGAAAATTTGACAAATCTAAACAATATAATAAATTTTTAATAATTTCGTGCGGATGAAGCCGCACGGGAACAACAAGTATTTTTTTATATCAATAATTCAGTCCTAGACGATTTACGTTTAGGCCAGGTGACTCACCGATGCTATGACGTCACAGAAGACAGGCGCAAAGAAGAGCAAATTGGGATTCGTTAGATACGACTGTGGGTTGCCTAATTCTAGTCATCTTCCCTTTAGCAACTTTTTTTAGTAAACTGAAAAAGAGAAAGAGGTTTCCTTGTTTTGAAAATTTAAGAAGATAATGTGAAAGAAATGTAACAAAAAATCCCCAACGTAATAAAGACATTCTCCAATCTACATTGATATTGGTATATTGAAGTAGTAATGAAATTAGAAGAGATTGGGTAGAGGGCGCACTGATCGTCCCGAACGTTTGTCATCCAGTCACGTGGAAGTAGCTGATAAGTCAATGGCTCTTGTCATTTTAAGTAGCGACTCGTGACGTCATCACGGAACCAATGTGAAATCACCCATGTCCTACGCCTCTTCAGTTTACACTGGCGAAACATGTCTCTAATAAAAGGGGACAAACGAGCGGCGGGAACACAGTGGCCAACGACGTTGATGGACATCCGCAACACTAGAGAAACTACAGTTGCGTTGCCGGCCTTTGAAATGATAAGCTCGCTTATTGAAGGTCCCTAAGTAGCTGTTACTTGCGACTTCGCCTGCGTTATATTAAAAAACCTAGCTTATGTTACTCTCTGATAACGTAGCTTTTTAATGGTGAAATAATTTTTGACATCTGCCCAGCAGTTTTTGAGATATTATAATACATACGTAAATACAAATTTTTCCTCTTAATAATATTAGAATACATGAAAGGGAGGACAATAATTTGTGGTTAAATTTAAAAAAAAATCATATTTTAACTCGCACAATTATTTTAAAATTGTTTAACAATTTAATTTCGGTCTCAGCAAACATTTTTCCTCAATAAGAATATATAATGAATGAAATTAACAAGCTCTTCATTCGAGGATTTTTATAAAATACCACAACACTTTCAATTATCCATTCCAAGAGTTTGTTTTAAAATTATCCCTTGAGAATCGCAATTTTCTGGCAGATCGTAACATATCTAGTCAAATTATAAATTGACGAAGTTTGCAATCGTTTGGTGGCATGCAATAAAATGTAAGGAAGTCGCTAGGGTTGTCACGCGTTGCTTTGTGAACGTTCTTTTTCCGTGTGACCTGGTTAGTGGGACGTCGGTACACTAGTTTATTAATACAGGTCACTTCTGCTCGCACAGTTTTAAGTCTCGTCTATGGAATTAACGTGGATCATTTAACTAAACTAACTAAACTTTGATTAAACTGACTTTTATTTTTTTTTATTTAACTAAACTTTAACCATCCCTTTGGAACGGTCATAAATTTTTGAATTTAGAATTTAATAAACGTTTTCACTATTTTGAAAATCGAATGCGGAATTTTTAATCTTTAATTTTAAATTTTTTGATAAATTCCAAATTCAAAATTTTGTAAACGTGTATTTTTGATAAACGTTTGCTGAATTTTAAAAATCGAATGTAAGCTTTTTTATTTAATTTAAAAAGTACCATTTAAAAAATTTACTTGTATTTTAAAATCAATAACAATTAAGACATGGAGATCTTAGTAAAAATGTTATTTGTTAATTTTTAATTACACTAATAAATAAACGATAAAGGTATTCCTGTGTTTTATGTTAAATGTGAATAAAAATACAAACATGGAGGCTTTTAAAAAATGCAAATAACATTTCATTGTTCCGCGTCCTCTGTAAAACCAATTTGCGTCGAGTTGGTAAACACAATATCTGAATTAATGAAAAAATGCTACCAGTAACATTATATAAAAACGATAAAGCATTTCATTAGAATATTCAATACCAAGTTCTTAAAAAAAATGACTTCATACCATTTGACTTGCGTCAGTCAGTATGCACATGCAAGACTGCTTAAGATGGCGGGGTTTTTTTTTTAATCATCATTGTCATCATCAACATCTGCAGCAGCCATTGACAGCAGCAGACAAAATGTTTATTTGTTTTTCTGTTTCGAGTAGAATCAACATCAATTTAAATTCTAGAACCAATAGTAAGTCTTTCAATGAACGAGGAACTTGGTTATGAGCTCACTAAACGTCCTCACTAAGTGGTCAGAGCCTACCCTAAATTAGGGTGACCAGGCCATAGTCAACCACACTGCACTGTTAGTTGACTTCTCGCATATCTTTGAGTTTATCGCCGATATGTGCAAACACGATGTTTCCTTCACCGTAAGAACGTCGGGTAAATTATGTACAGATGTTGTTTATTTATTTTCATCTACGTAATATTCCGATTGAACTGGAATCGGAACAAATGGGTACGAAACCAGCGTATGAACATATAATGTGAACATATTTAATATAGAGTATTGTAGTTCTCAGAAATAAATTGGGTTTTGGGTGTCGGCTAGTGGATCGTCCTTCGCGTTTGTCATCCAGTCACGTGGAAGGCCTGATAACTCAATGGCTCTTGAAATTTTCATATAGTTATACATTTAATAGGAAATATCGTATATAAAATACTTTTCTACCGACTTCCCAAAAGGAGGTTATCAATTTATATATCATACTTCTTACTAATACTTATTACAAATGCGAAAGTTTAGATGGATGGATGTTAGAGTTTGTAGCCTAAACAGCTGGACGGATCACGATGAAATTTTGCATATACTTAGTGGACAGTTTGAAAGAACATATAGGCTACTCACTTTTTTTTCATTCTTAAATTTTAATTTCCCGCGGACGGAGTCACGGGCGAATGCTAGTATTTTATATGTATTGTAATTCTTACTCATTATTATACTAGCTGTTGCCTGTGATTTCGTTTAGGTATGATTGAAAAAATCTCAGTAAGTTATGGGTTATTCCGATTTTAAAATTATCTCTCTTTCAAATATGATGCTTATCCGTTCTGTCGCTTAGGTAACATGATATTAGTGAAAACGGGATTTATTTAAAAAAAACATTTTGACCCTTTTAAAGATTTCTAATCTATACTATTATATTTAAAAGATATGTATTTTTGTATGTATTGGAATAACTTAAAAACACATCAAAAATTCTTTCATCTTTAGAAAGGTAATTTTTTTGTAACTAACATACACTGTATTTTTTATTATTTTTTTATTTCACGCACTCAAAGTCGCAGGCAACAGCTAGTTAGTATAATAAACACATACTGAATTACCCCAAAA